TATATAAATTAAATTTATAAGCTATATAAGCTAAAATTTAAATATATAAATAATATTATTATAATATAATTTAATAAATATATTTTATTTATATTCTTTTTAAAAACTAAATTAGTTACTAATTTGTTTTATTTTTGTTTTTTTGTTTTTAATAACTAATTTACTAATAAAAAGCAAATGCTATATAAAAAACGAAAAACGAAAAACAAAATTAGTTTCGTTACTAAGACCTTCGTTTTTAGTAACTAATTTAGTAACGAATTTATAAGCCTGATTATATTACAGCTTAAAGTTTAAATTAATAAAATATACAATAAATATTTATATAAATCATGTAACAAATATAAAAATTTTTAAAGTATTTTATAAAAAGCTTAATAATATTTTTTTTTAATAATCCAGCTATTTTAAAATACTATTATTTTCCTCTTAAGATTAAAAAGTTAAATAGGTAAAAGTAAATTAAAGCATAGGCATAGTATTAAAAGTATATTTAAAAATATAAATATAATTCACATAATTATATTATATTTATAAACTACTATATTAATACCTTAAACTTCAATTTTACAGTTTTTTATATTATTAAATTTACCGCTATAAGGTTTTAATAAACCTAGTATAAATTTAGGGATTGTATATCTGGTATCTCTATTTAAGTAAATAGTATATATAAAAGCAGGACTTGTGGCTTAGCAGCTTAAAATATTAATTCCAGCATTCCTATATAAAATAAGCTATAATTAAAAAATAATAATAGTTTAATAAAAATAAATACTATAATTATAAGGCTAGAAATTTACTATAATAATATAATGCTAGGTGTTTTTTTAGCTTTTTTTAATATTTAATTTATTTAATTTTTAAAATCAGCATTAATACTACTACTTTACTTATTATTATAGTCTCTAAGCCGCTGCCTTATGCATTAATATAACCTTTATAATTTTATATTAGGTATATATATATTATAAAGCTTAATAACTTACAGGCTAGCTGATATTATTAAAACTATTATAATACCCTAGGTTAATAATTTTAATAATTTTAATATTATTCTAGCTGGTGTAAATAAAAAACACTATTATAAATAATTATTTTTAAAAGCCTTAGCTTTTTTTTAATAATAATATATATTTAAAATAACTAAAGTATTATATTTATAACCTGTATATTTAATCTTTTTTTAATCAAGGCTGCTTTTTAAATACCCTTTGTTTTTAACAATAATTTATATTTTTATTTTTATTTTTTTATTGCTTTATAATATTAATATTATTATAGCTTAATTATTAAAACTAAAGCTGCTTTTTTTATAAAGCCTATTTATTTTTCTTATATTTAATTTAAAGTTTTATTAATATTACTTTATTTTATAATTTAAAAGCAGAGTTTATTAAATTTACTGTCTTTAGTTAATTTAATAAAATTATAAAAGTCTTTATTTTTAATATATATAATTATATATATAAGTTCTAGTATTAAATAAAATTTTATATATTTATAATAATTTTTTATTTTTATATAATTACATTATATATAATAGCTATAAAGTTTTTATATTTAGTTTTTACTATAAGAAGTTTATATAGCTTTTTATATAATAATTTTAATTCTTTAAGGCATTTTTAATATACTTTAAGTTAATAGTTATAATAGCTATTTAATATATTTTTATATTACTATAATTAAAAGGCTTTTAAATAGGCTTTTTTTATTATTTTTTTAATATATATAAAATAGATAGTTTTTTTATTTTCTTTTAATTTTATATGATTTAAAGACTATATAAATATTATTTATTACTAGGTTATAAATTATTAAAATATTAAATAATTACAGTAAATTAAATAATATACTATATAGCCGGGCTTCTAAATTAGTTACTAATTTAGTTACTAAAAATAAATTTCTTAATAAAAAAACTAATTTCATTTTTCATTTTTTATTTTTTATTAGTATTAGTTTTTTATTAGTAAATTAATTACTAAAAACAAAAAAACAAAAACAAAACAAATTAATTATTAATTTTATTTTTAAAAATATAAATAAAAATACCTACCCTATTTATATTATAATATTATTATTTATATATTTAATTATTAGCTTAAATGTCCTATAAATTAATTTATATATAAAAACCAAATTTAATAATAAAATAAATTTCATTTCATTACTAATTTATTTATATATAAAAAAAAACTAAATTAATTTCTATTATTAATAATAAAACTACTTTATTTTTATTTTTAGTAACTAAAAACAAAATTATTTATCAATAATGAAACTAAAAACTAAAAACTACTAACTAATTTTACAACCTTATATATAGCCTTATAAAAATAAATATATTATTAATATATATATAAATTTTACTTTCTGCTGTTTTACTTAATTTACTTTATTTATATACTAAAGTAGCTTTAAATACTTAAAGTACTCTTTAGATTTTTTTATTTATTACTTTTACTTAATAATATCTTTTATATTTTTTTTTATTATTTAATTATTTTAATATATTATATAGCTATATTTAATATTATTTTTAATTTTAAAATTATTTAAATATACTATTATATTTTTAAAAAGCAGGTATTTAAGGCAGCTATTAAAAAATTTACTTTTTTTTATTAAATACAATAATAAATTGTATATAGGTTTTTAAAAATAGCTTAATTAATATTATTTTAAATATACTTTTATATAGTTACTATAGTTTTATATATTAATTTAAATAATAAAGGCTAGGCGGTTTTTAAAGTTTTCTTATGAAAGAATATTCTAGGTTTAATTATTTTAATTTAACTACTGTTAATAGCCCGGTATTTTTAATAAATATTTCTGCTAGCAGGATTTTAGATTTTTTATAAAAAATAAAGGTAGGGGTTATTTTTTATATTAAAAGAGCTGCTTTTATAGTACTTTAAATTATTTAATTTAATATTTTTATTATAGTTTTATAGCTTAGTAAATTTTTCTTATTTTATATAGGTTTTTTTTTCAGGTATTAAATTTTAGCTTTATATAAAAAAAAAGGCAATACCCCTGCTATAACTGCAGTCTAGACTGCTTTTAAGTTTAATTCTTTTTTTATATTATAAAAATTATATTAGTAGCTGGCTGTTTATACTGCTATAGTTCTTCTTTTTTATATATATATTAAACTATAGTTTTTTATTTAGCTAAACCCCTAGTTATTTTATAGCTTTCTTTAATATTTTTCTTTTATTATTATAAAATACCAGTAAAGCTATTTATATTATATTTTTATCTTTTCAAAAGCTTATAGTCTTTATCTTCCTTAAATTAAATATAATTATATATTAGAATCTTATTATAATTAAATTATTAATTATTTATATAACTATATCTATTATTATTTTTAAAAGTTTAGCCTATAAGCAGAAGTTTAATATTATTTATATATTTATATCTATAAAATAATTATCTAGCGTTTATTAAAGGTTTAATATATAATAAAAATATAATTAATAAAATACATAAGCTTTATAATAGCCTGTACTTAAAGGGTTATATATTTAATATATATTTATTTAATATAATACAGGTTATATAATTTATTATAAAAAAGGGTATTTATTTAATAATATTATTAAGCCAGCCCTACTATATTAGCTAAATAATTAATATATTTTTAAAAACCATATTAATGGCTTTTTAAATATTTATAATAACTAATATTATTATAATATTTTTAATAAGTGCTTGCTTTATATTATATATAAGGGCATTAATTATATTAATAGTTAATTATTTTAATAATATACTAGTTTAATTTAAGTAAAAGGCTTTTTTTAAAACTATAATAAGTATTATCTTTTAGTAATGTTTTTTTTTTAATTTTTTTAATAAATATAATAATAATAATAAAATCTTTAACTTTATATTTATATTTTTTTTAATTTTAAAATTATAATTATTTTAATAATTTTAAAGGCTGCGAGGTAATATTTTTTATTAAAATATATTTAATATAATCTTTAAATATATTAAATAAATATTAGCAGTCATATAAATTCATTACTATTTTCATTACTAAAGGCAAATTTATTAGCAATAAAACTAATTATATTTTTTATTTTAAAATAAATTTTTCATAGTTTCAGTTTTTCATTAATATTAGTTTTTTATTAATAAATTCAGTATTAAAAACAAAAAAATAAAAACAAAATAAATTAATAATTAAATTTATTTTTATAAATTATATAAATAAAAAAGGCCTTTAATTATTCTAAATCACTCTTATCTATATATTTATTTTCTAGCTCTTTAAAATCTTTAATCTAGTTTTTTAATAATATTATTTCCTTGACAAAACTAGGCTTAAGCCTATTTCTTAATTTAGTAATAATATTATTCGAAATAGAAAAAACACTTTCTATTGCAGCAGAGGTAGCAGGAATAGCTAAATAATGCCTTGCTAAAATAGATAGAATAGGAAATTTATTAAAATTTAATTTCTAATAGTCTAAAGGATTTTCCTGTAATAAAAATATTTTAATAAATAAATAAATAAAAAATTATATATAATTAATAAAAACGTACTTTTTTATAAATAAGGCTTTTTTTAAATATAATAATATTTTATTTTTATTATTATTTTTAGTCCTTAAATAAAATTCTTTATTAGAATTTAATAAATTAAAAATAAAATTATTATTTTTATTATTATTATTAAAATCCTTAGTTAATTTATTAAAAGATAAATTAATAGGGTTATTAATAATAATAAGGCTGTTTATTTTTTTATTTATTTCAATTAAATAAACTATTAGTAAAAGTTATTAAAAATAAAATAATAATATAAATTATATTTTTTTTTAATTAAATTAAATATATTATTATTTAAATTAAAATAAAAATATAATAATTTAATTTCTTTAAAATAAATATTTTTAAATTAAGGATTTAAAAATAAATTAAATAAAAAAGGCTTATAATTATTTAAATTAAAAGAAGTTAATTTCCTAGGAGAATTTTTTTTTAATTTAAATAATCCAGCTTTATAACATTTATAAATAGCTTATAATAATTAATTTATTAAAATTAATAATTAATATAATATAAATACAATAAATAACATATGAAATTATTAATAAGTGGATTATTAATATATTTTTTATATAATAAATCTAGTTTTTTATATATTTTATAAATATATAATAAATAATAAAATATATATAATAAATAATAAAATATAAATAATGAAAATATAAAGCTTTTTTTAAATTAATAAAAACATTAAATATATAATAAGTTAAATTTTATTAAGTTATATTATTTAATAATAATTAGCTAATTTAATTATTTTATAAATAAATAAATATAATAAAATATATATAATAAATAAAATAAAGTATTGCTATTCAGGCAGTGCATTTTTACTATTCAGGCAGTACGCCTACTTTACCAAGCTTAATTAGGCCTAGGTTTATATAACCTATCTTTTTATATTAAATTATAATATAAAGTTCTAGCAGCTAAAACTATATATAAAGGCCAGATAGTAATTATTAAATACTATAGCTAGAAATATAAAATAAAGCTATTATAATTATATTTTCTAAAGCTTTATTTATATTACTAGGATAATTTCTTTAACCTTTGCAGCAGTATCTGCAGCACTGCTTTATTTTATAACTATAAGGCATTAAATGCCTTAAGTGCCTAAGGCCCGGCTGCAGCCGCAGCCTCTTTATCTTCCTCTTTAATTTCCTTAGCCTTTATTACTTCTTATAACTTATAATTACTTTAGCCTTATCTACAAGACTCCTTAACTAGCAGCTTTAACCTCTGCTGCTATTTAAGTACGCTATATACTTAAGAGTAGTCTTTAACTGCCTGATTAATTAAAAATTAATAAGTAAAGTATTATAATTAGCTATAAATTATAATTAATAAAAACTTTATTATTTTAAAGTAATTTTAGCTAGCTTTATAGATTTTTAATAATATTTAAGTTTTAAATTTAAAATAATAATTTATTTAAGTTTTAAAATATTAAATTAATAAATTTTATATAAAAAATTATAAAAAAAAATTAAAGGTTTATTTAATTATTAATATAAATAAATAATTTTTTTTATTAATAATACTTTTTATAAAATTATTTTTTTAATAATATAATAAATATAAAATAATATATATTATTATATAAAGTAATATAAAGTTATATATAATAATAGTATTTAATTTTTTTTTATAATAGCTTTAATATAATAATATTATTAAATAAAAAAATTAATAATAATATAATTAATTTATATTAAAAATAATTTTAGCTAAGCTTAATTAATATAATCCTGCTATAGTTTAATTTTTTATTTTATAGTTATTTTAAAATAATTTTTTTTTATAATTATTTATATAAAGGCTTTATAAAAATAAAAGAAATTACCTATATTAATTAAAAAATATATTTTAATATTTTTATAAGGTATTTTTATAAAATTATTTATTTTTTAATTAAAATTTTAATAATATTTAATATAGTATTATAAAAATTAATTAATAATAAAAAAATATTTATTAA